ACACAGTTAATATAGCGAGCCAATCAGATTGCACGATCAGGTATAATATAAAATTAGGGAGCTGATATTTAAGACTTTATTATAGCCTCTCTGGGAATTGTCAATTAACTATTCCTTAGAATACCAGAGTCAGCTATTTGACAATTATAAAATTAAAATAAAATTATATAAATTTTGTATATTTTATATACCCTTGCATATTTTATGTATTTCTTGCATATTTTATGCACCCCTAGCATATTTTATGCATAATTATGCATAATATGCATAATCGTGCATAAAATATGCAAGGGTGTATAAAATATGCAAGAAGTACATAAAATATGCAAGGGTATATAAAATATACAAAATTTATATAATTTTATTTTAATTTTGTAATTGTTAAATAACTGACTCTGGTACTCTGAGGAATAGTCAATTGACAATCTCCAGGGGGGCTATAATGAGGTATAAAATATCAGCTCTCTTACATATATATCATTTAATTTTAATAATCACAGCATCTCTATCAAAAATTTTTGCTCATATAGTCTAGGTTCTGCAGTTCTGAGAGTTTGTTAATATTGATATTTCATTACATGTTAGTGTCAGGAATTGTTAATATTAGGAATTGTTAGCATCAGGAATTGTTAGTATCAGGAACTGTTAGTATTGGAATAGTTAGTATTGGGAATAGTTAGTGTCTGGAATTGTTAGTGTTGGAATTGTTAGTGTTAAGAATTGTTAGTGTCAGAAATTCGATAGTGTTAGAAATTCGATAGTGTTAGGTATCAGGATTCTGTCAATATTGGGATTCTGATATTGTCAGGATTCTGTTACTGTCAGGATTCTGTTACTGTCAGGATTTTGATCGTGGCAGGATTCTGATAGTGTCAAAATTTTGTTAGTATTGGGATTCTGATAGTGTCAGAATTTATTAATGTCAAGATTTTGTCAGTGCTGGGATTTTGTTAGTGTTGAGATTCTGATAGTGTCAGGATTTTGTAGTATTGAGATTTTTCAGTATTGGGATTTTGTTTGTTAGGATTTTGTAGTATATGATTTTGTTTGTCAGGATTTTGTTAGTGTTAAGATTTTGTTAGTGATGAGATTTTGAATGTTGAGATTTTGAAAATGTTAGGATTTTGAATATCAGAATTTTGAATATTGAGATTTTAATTCTGTTGGGATTTTGAAAGTATCAGAATTTTGAATATCAGGATTTTGAATATTGGATTTTAATACTATCAAAATTTTAATTTGTTAGGATTTTGTGTTTTGGAATTTTGTTGTCAGAATTTTAAGTGTTGAGATTTTGGTATCAGGATTCTGATAGGTAACTAACTTGAAGTGAAGAACTATAAGAGGATTTTAAAAGAGCGGTCTATTACAACAATTACATGTTGAGAATTTAAAATCGGTATTTTAGAATTCAAAATAAATTTAAATGAAAGTTAAAAGTTATAACAATAAATTAGAGATATGCAGTATTCTGAAATCATATGCATATAATTTTTAGCCCTTAGCACAGATTAAAGTGCATTTTAGTTTATAGTTTTTTTTTGTCAGATAGTTTTATGTATAGATTTCTATAATAATATAGATAGTTTGTCACCTGGTTAGCAAGTTTTTATATCTGTAGACAAGTTCTCTTAGATTTTAGAATAGTCTTTTTAATTTCTTTATATTTTGGTCATTTTCTTATATGCTTCTTTTTATTTTTTCTATTTTCATTCTACCCTTATTCCTTTTTTCTTTTTTACTTCTCTATGAGAAAGTATCATCATATTGGTGACACTCTATTGTAAAGCAGTGATTCTGACAAGGTTGGTAAGAACTATCTGTTGATATCTAATGCTTACATTCTCAGAAAGTTAAGAATCTCAGAAAGAGAAAATTTGTTTACTTAGGCAGGTCACTTCTGAGTCATACTCTAGTATAAAATTTAGAGTTTATTTTATTTTTTACTATGATAATAATACATATTGAGAGAATCTTTATTTGAACAGGAATATAGTAGTTTAGTGATTTGATGTAAGTTAGCTAGCTGAGGGCATTTTGTAATCTACTTCTAATTTATAAAATAAAGGTAGAATCACTGAAGCAAAAAAAAATAATTATAAAATTATTATAAATTATTATAAGATTATTATAAGATTATTGTTTAAGACTATTATAATATTTTTTTAATAAGATTTTATTAAGATGTTTATTATTATAAGATTATTTTAAGATTATTTTAAGATAATTATAAGATTATTATAAGATTATTGTAAGATTATTATAAGATTATTATGAGATTATTATGAGTATTATAAGATTATTATAAAATATAATTTTGATAATTTTATTATAATCTTCAAGATTATAACAATTAAATAAAAAATTAGCTAAGTTCTGTAAAGTACATCCCCAGTGTAGGGCGTGGATGGTTAGTAAAACATAATCTACAAAATCTTACAACAGTAAACCTACATAAAATAAAAACGATAATAGCAACAAAGACAACACAACTAGCAATAATACCAACGCCCATGCCACTATTTAATCCGTTGCTACTATTAGATTCAATGCTACAGATTGATTTACCAGGTGCAAAGGTAGTTACCCATGTTTTGCATGGAATATCTAATATATAAATGAGAGGGTTGAGATCAACTGGTGGCACTAAATCATTAGTAATATTACCTGTTGTTGTTTTTAAGATGAATATTATTTTATTTATAAATAGATAAAAAATATAAATAAATAATAAATACATAAATAAGATAAATAATCACCAAATGCAACAATAAGATACTTCTGATATAAATTAGCAGTATGAACTGCTAATGGAGGTGGTATATCTCCAGAAGTATTTAATTCAGAATATATATAAGGTTCGTTTGCAATATTTAATGACACAAAAACTGGTTTAGCAGTGGAAAGGTTATAATTATAATCTAAGAATAACAAATTAATTAGTTATTATTATTAAAACAAAAGAAAATTAGAAATATATTACAAATTTCGTACTTGTATTCCCCCCTATTATAATAATTTCACTATTGTCTGGTATTAATGTTGCAGTGTGGGATATTCGCGGTTGAATGCGGTTTGATTGATTTGCATACTAACAAATATAAATTATATTACTTAGAATTTCAACATGAAAATATTTATTACCTCAAAACTGAAATTAAACGTATACTTTGTATGACCAGGTTGAAGAAATCGTGTCAAATATTGGGATCTATAATAGGTGATATAAATTAATATTCATGCACGATTAAAAGAAAACTAAATAAATTAATATTAAATTTGAAGAAAAATCATTTTACCTCATTCATATCTATTAAGCTTGCGTTCGTTCCAGGATTAGTCTGAGAAACACCACCAATATAAAGAATCTTACCATTTGGAAGCATTACTGGTGCTGCGTGACTTCGAGGTGAAGGTGCATAATCTGCATTAATTTTATTCCACGATAATAATACCGAATCAAATGCATATAAATCATTATAACAAACAAATATAGGTGATCCTGTATCTTCTTGAACTCTCCCTCCAAATATATATATTATTCCATTCTGACTTATGGCAGTTGAAGTTGATCTTCGTCTAGACGGCTGCGTT